TGGAACTCTATACCATCCCTGGAACTGATTTGGAAGTAGCATGGAACTCTATACCATCCCTGGAACTTGTATGGAAGTAACATGGAACTTTATGCCATCCCTGGAACTTATTTGGAAGTAACATGGAACTCTATACCATCCCTGGAGCTTATTTGGAAGTAACATGGAACTCTATACCGTCCCTGGAACTTATTTGGACGTAGCCTGGAACTCTATACCATCCCTGGAACTTATTTGGAAGCAACCTGGAACTCTATACAGTTGACCGCTAGAGGCCGCCGCCGCCACCCACCCCGATAAATCACAGTGTGGCTCCTTGATTTGCATAAATTGTGCAGCCTTCATCTTGAAGCATTTCCTGTTGGCACCGAAAACCACTGGTGGCCGATGGTTGTCCTTTGAGGATTCAATTGTTGAGAAGGGCTCTGCTGGGCTGGGTGTTATAACACATCCATCTCTCCTCTGTTCATTATATGAATTTATCATCATCATAATCATCATCATCATCACAACGTCCGGTGGCTCGCGTGGCTTGCTGGGTCGCTGGTCACATCTGACGGTCGGTCACATGACGGTTGGCCGGGGAAGGTGAGATATATCGGCGAAGTGATCGTGTCCATCCGATGGTTGCATGTTGAGTCCAGTTCTATTTTGTAATAGGTCATGTGGTCTAGAAATAGTGAAAGAGTAGAAGTCAATCAAACAGCAATCATGGAAACCGTTGACGACGGTTCCTGCACCAGGGATGAGATGTTCGAAAAAGGGACAGGATTTTCAACTCTCCACGATCGCAGACGGCCAGTTTTATTTTGCCCCCTAGGGCTCCAACCATATCCTCACCAGGTGCTTGGACCTCCAAAATTGAAGCTCACCACTTTCTCAGGTCCAGGAGCCCGAGGGAACTATTCAACCCGGTGTGATGTGAGCAAGCAGCGCCGACACATTCGATCCGCGATCCGTTGGATGTTCGTGGGGGGCATCCGCGCTTGGTTCTGCCCCGAATTGGTCCCCCCCCCCCAGTCGTCTAGCTTCGCTGGAGCCCGTTCGCTGGTTTTGGGGGGGACGTGACCGTGACCGGAGTCCCGTTCGGCCCATCCAGCGACCATTTCCAGGCCTGTTCGTGAGCGAACCAGAGACCGAAGCAACCAGAGACCGAAGCAACACATACGAACCTGGTGGAGCACCATCGGTGTCTTCTCCCTCGCGCCTCAGGGACGCATGGAGCGCGTTGTCGAAGCCCTTGAGGTCGTCCAACTGCGCCGCGCGTTCCGGTTGCCTCCGGTGGGCAGGACGCGGGGCGTGGCGGTATGCGATCCAAACCGCGGTCCGGGTGGTGGGCTGGAGGAAGCCGGTGAACGTGTGGCCTGTGGCACCATGTATACATGTCGAGGGTTGTAAAAAGGACGTGCGCTTGTCAGCTTAAAGGGTTGGGTTGTCAACCCGCAAACTTGCAGGGTGGGTGTCCTAAGTCTTAAGGAACCTTGAAACTGGTCGGTGAAAGCATCACACTGATAAGAACATTATTTTTTTGCTGACCTGTCTTGCGCCTTCTTGTGTCTATCGAGATACGGGTTCAGCACAGAGGAACAGCATGATTCAGAGACTAGGAACTGCCTGAAGCTCTTGTTACAGCCTCCCACTGCAAAATGTTCCATTCTCCAACCGGAGACGTGTGTTCTCAATGGACACTCCAGGTGATGCAAGGATATGTAAGGCTTCAGTCGACCGTGCTTCAGGCTCTCCTCTGACTTTCTGATTTCTGAATGCAAATTATTATGTAGAATATTGTGGAATTATGCATTCACGCTCCCAAAAACTATATATAGTTATTTTTGGCAACGTCCGTTCTAAACCACTGACTTGGCCCCGATCAAAGCCAGTCTTCAGAGGGCACAGTCTCAGGTGGAGACGTCAAAGACAAATCGTATAACACACAACCGCACGATCCACTGCAGCGAGATTGAATCGGTGCATGTCCCTCCAAAATCCACCTCAAAAAATGTCTGAAACGCTCGGACTGGGCAGCCCGCAAAGCCAGACTGACCAATTTGTGTCCAAATCACTGCAAACAAACGTTGAGAGGTCCGATGTGAAGAGGGTCCGTCTTTTGAAAGCGGAACCCTCAGCTGTCCAGTCTCTCAAGCTGTCTTTTGTGGATCGCCAAGTTGCAGGAGGAATTGAAAGAAGAGTAGAGGAAGCCTCAGATCTTGCACCGTGTTGGGAGATCGCACTTAAGTGATGCATTCCGCGTTCCAGGAAAGGTCAGTTTGGATTCCAACTTGTTGATATTACGCGCCCGATCCAAGGAAAAATATGCAGACCATCCACCTTTCCCACTCGTGAAAAGTAGCGTGGTCGCCGTCCCCCCAGTAGGGTGAGCTGAAAAATGCTGAGTTTCCTTGACCTGTGGGTTGGGGAAGCAGCAAGATAGAAGTCACTGGGTCATGCATTAAGATCAATGGCAAATAGATGCAACTAACAGTAAAATTCAAGATCATAAACACAAGGCGCGTGACCATCCCGGCATCCAAGCTGACCTTCGACCTTAGTTTCCCTGCCAAAGTGAAGGTTGACTCTTGTTCTCACTGGTTAGCTTTCAGTGTAAAGGTTATCAACTAACTGGGTAGGCAAACATGAATTGGAACCAGGCTGCCTCGGAAATCATCCCCGACATCGTGACTCACGCTGCCTGTGACCTCCACCATGCCAGCCTTGCTTTCTCTCTCTCTCTCTCTTATTTTTTGTGCTGGCTTGGCTGTTTTGGGTCTGTGATGCTATTGATGCCACACGGAATGCCCAGCATCACTGGCACCCCGGGAGAACAATGCAAGATATGATATATTAAATATATCTGGCTGCAATGGCGCCTACACTTCAAGAGCCGCCAACAAGGCTGTGAGCAAGAAGACCGATGCTGAGCATCAGCGGATCTATGCGGCAGGGCGCATCCAGATTCCGCCACTAGAGGACAAGCACTTCATGCAGAGTTGAGGGGCCGGTGTCGACCAAGCAACGCCAACAGAAGGACAAAGAGAGAGAGGCACGCAGGTCGATGTCTTCTCCCGTCTCGTCCACAGGCAGCCGTCCTCGGGTCAGCACCGATGGCAGCACTACAAAGGAGGATTTAGATGCGAAGCTTGCAGCAAGAGGTGCTCCACACACCTGGAGATTGTCAGCAAAATGGCCAAGCTTGCCGGCCCTATGTCGTCTCTTTCGGCAATGACATTGGCAAGCATTGGCAGGAGCAGCTGCGCAACAACATGCCTTAGGGCTAATGGCAACTGTGCCAATTTCTATGATACTGATTTGTGAAAGGCGGCATGAAGCTGAGTTTCCACCAGGCATCCTCAATCTCGCCCGTGAGGTTTACAGTGGCCGGAGGATTTTGCAAGGAGAGCAAGTGGCTGGGAAGCCAATCATTCTCCAAGGGCATACTTGCTGGGTGTCCCGCTGCACCACAAATGGCACCAACCGGTCGCGGATGCCAACATTGATGTCCGGATCGACGATCTATGATATAAGTCAGCAGAGCGGCGGTTGAGGGCTACACCATGCTTGTTAAGCTTTTGATAGGTGATGGACTTTGCACGCCAGTCATGCCTTGTAAAGGCAGAAAGGGAACAGACGTTTTGGGAAACTTCTTCACCCGAAGATTGATTCCAAACCCATCCGGACCAGACCAGGCATTGCTGTACCCAAGGACGTTTGAGGACGCACTTCAAGAGCGAGGTGCCTTGGCCACCAACCACTGAACCGATGACGCCAATCCTGCTGGCAAGCCAGTGGGTAGAAGGCGGCCTGGCAGGCCTTGAAGCAAGGTGCCCGCTCTGAGTTGATTGCTGATTCGCATCCATCTGGCTACCTATCACCAGCAGCTGGCCCTGCCAGCAAAGGCTGGGTCCAATACAGCCAGGCCTTAGTGATGAACTGCCTTGGACAACCTCCTCCAAGTGGCTTTTCATGAGTGCTCCAGTTCATGCATCACCCCCCACGCCAATGCCATGCATTGCCTCTCAATCGCTGTCTCCCACCAGTCCACCAGATCCGGGTGCTGATCATAGAAGGTATCCAAAGAGCCACCGGTTTGAAGGTCCAACTGGAGCCTCAACTGCTTTAGACGTTGAGGGGCTAATCCTTGGGCCTCATTCCCATAGGTCACGGCACTGTGGATGGAGCACTTCCATAGCCGGACTTTGATTGGTGTGAGGGATCTGCAACTGCATCATCTTGCTGAAGAGCTTCGCGTGCTTGCCCGATGCCCTGCCCACTTCAGCCCGAAGTAACCGCATCAACGCCACTTGGATCACGTGGGTTCCTGGAACCGACCTCTCCCACGGAACCTGCTCCTTCACCTTGAGTTGCCAAGCCCGAATTGCCTCCCACCGCAACTTGAACCAGACTCTATACAAGACCGAAGTGAGAGCTATCGGTCGTTCAATCGAGGGCTTCTTCGGTAAGAGGATGACAAGGGAGGTCTTGACCTGTTCCGGGAGTACCCCGTCCAGCTCCCATTGCGCCTCATGAGCTTGACCAACTCCTCAACGGCCTCAAAGGGGATGTTGCGCAACATCGCATACATCAGGTCCTCGACATCTCGGTTTTGGCGCATCCATGAACGACTGAGCAGCTGAGCATACTCGGTCAGAACGGCTCATCTGCATCCTTGGACCATTCGAACCCGCGTCGGTACATGGCCCCTTCCGAGATCAGCAACCGCACCAGTTTGCAGAATTCACACATGAGAAACGCGATGCCCTCCATGCTGTTGAGGAAGCTCAGCATTCGCGCCTGATGTTGTGGCATTGGTCTCCGTCTCTTTCTCTCTGCCTCTCTCTCTCTCTCTGTCACTCTCTGTCTGTCTGCCTGCCTGGCTGTCTGGCTGATACTGTATTACCTACTCCAAGCTACCAATGCTCACCACCCTCAGCATCCTCCCACCTTGCCCCATCCAACCCTCCCCACCTCCAAGCTTTCACCACTTCACCCATCGCACCCTGCACCCTTCCACCCCCTTCCCGGAAAACCCTTCTCCAACTCCCAAACTGACCCTCTTAACTTGAGGCCAGAGGGGGTGAACGAAAGCTAGCTGGGCCGGGTGAGCGAGAGAAGTCGGCGCGGCTGGCGCTGCGCAGCATGCTTTTTTTTCGCCCGCGGCGGACGGATGCGTTGGCCGCAATGTGGAAAAAAGGGTATGTGTGAAGGGGGAGAGGAGAGAGGTCAAGAGGAAAACATAGTTGAGGGAGTGGGTAGTATAGCGCAACCTCATTCAGGCTAACGTCTCTAAAGAAGCTGAGGACATGACATGTTGTAGAGAAATCGAAAAAGATATATGATATGTTTATAAAACAATCAGCAGCGCTGTCCCCCTGAACAAGGTCTTAGGTCTGTAGTTGTTGGCGATCAAATCAAACCCGCTGAGGTACCTCTGTCGTGCGCAGGTCGAAGCTCTTGCAGTGTGCTTGGAGGTCTTGCCACTGTGTGGGGTCAGAAGGGAAGCGTTGTCTGCCCTTTGCCAAACAGAGCCAAAGTGTTGGGTCCTGTGAGTGTGGAAAGTAGTGTGAGGCTTGGCCGTGGAGTGTAGTAAGTGGGGGCCAAAGGCGCTCAGGAGCTGTTGCCAATCGTTCCATGGAATAGGAGATGTCAAAGCTCTGGCCAGAGTGGCTTCGATGGTAGAGGGTGAGTGGTCTGCGCCAGTGGATCTTCGAAGCTAATGTGTGCTTGGAGGTCTTGCCACTGTGTGGTGGTCAGAAGGGAAGTGTTGTCTGGCCAAAGAGGGCCAAAGTGTTGGGTCATGTGAGTGTGGAAAGTAGTGTGTGCCTTGGCCGTGGAGTGTAGTAAGTGGGGGCCAAAGGCGCTCAGCAGCTGTTGCCAATCGTTCCATGAGGGTGAGTGGTCTGCGCCAGGTGGATCTTTGAGGCTAACGAGCAGGTGGCGGAAGGCGGTCGAATCCAGGTGCTCGACCTGAGACCGCCAGCGCGGTCCAAAGCGCTGACGCATGAGCACTGCGAAGGTGGTGTGCACGGGGGCCACATAGGGCGCTGCCGCCGGTCTGCGAGTCGCGGCGAGGCGCTGCCAGTCGTTCCAGGAGATAGGAGCCGGCAATCGCGCGAGCCATGGCGTACCGTGGACGCCTGGCATGGTGAGGGTGGGTCAGAGTTATATTGGGTGTAGAGGATCGTGGCAGGTGAGGTGCACATGGAATGAGATGTGAAACGGAACCGAGAGGGCTGCGGGGCGGTGGACATGGAGGGTCGAGGCGGAGGAGAGAGAAGGTCAGTGGAGGGTAATGGAACAAAGAAAGACCTGCGGGAAGCGGAAAAGTGCAGATGGTCTGCACGTGCACGGGCCCAAAAATAAGAAAACAAGAAGCTGGATCACTGGGTATCCGAGCCAAAGTTCTGGGGGTGCTGCAGGTCGGGGGAAGGCACTGCGCAGAGGACGCGTCAACCCAGTGGCGGCGGTGGCGGTGGGGTTGGTGGGGTTGGGATGCAACGACTATTCAGGTGGAGCAGCCGGTTGGCCTTGGCCTGGATTACAGGTCTCTTCTTTCGGGCGCAGAGTCTTGCTCCTACCCGGCCGTCCAAAGCATGCCTCAGTGATCTTTTCTCCGGCGGAAGAGGCCCAGGTTCCACGGCCGTGTTTGGTTCCAAACCCTGCGTGCCCCCTTGATGTTTACCTGGTGGAAGAGGCTCCAGCAGCCTTCTCTTCGGCAATGATCTTGCGAGAAGCGCTCGGCTTGGCTGTCCCTGGAGACAAAGTGATAGAAGGCAGAGGCAAGAATCTGCACCCGACATGAGAGAGATTAAATCCAAGAAGTTGTTATGTAGATCGTGTGTTGTCTCGTTGAACGCACAAGTCTGACTCCCTTAGCCGTGCCCGTGTAATTTAACCACCTAAAGTGGGGATAAGACAGGGCTTGGGGAGGCATGGGGCCATGAGGTGTCCAGGGTCGGTGGCTGTGTGAGAGACACATCTCCCAAGTGCTGTCCGGTCAGTCCCGCACGTCCTGAACAGCGAGCGTGGGGGTATCCGAAGACTCCATCACTGGAGTCGTGTCTGAAGGTCGTCGGGGATGCAAGTCACTGTAGGTGCATACGAAACACAACCAAGGAATTTGAACCGGCCCCATGGGCAGACGTGAAACGTGAAGGACATCCTGCAGACTGCGGGCGCCTGGTCTCGGAGGCGCGCGAGCACCGCTCGCGCGAGGCCCATAGCGGCCGCAGGGTCGATGCGTTCGTTGGTCCAGTACATTTGCGTGAAGCTCCGTTTACAAGGACTTGCAACAGGTCTGCTGTTAAAGCCAGCATTTGGAGAGGAGCGCACTGCTTTCATGCGTATTGCCCCCGTCATGTAAACTCACACGGCCTCATACTGCAGTAGCGGCAAAGAGGTTCACGCCTTTGTCAAAGTCATGTCTATTCGTTTCAGTGTTTGCCGCAAGGTGTGACGCATATGGTTGGTTTCCAAAATGTCTTTTCCCAAAATGGTGCACTCATCGCAATTCCATGGGGGCCCGCTTCTAAATCTCCTTTAAGCTCCAACCACACTCAAACTACAGGGATGTTAAGCATGAAGGCATGTCAACTGCAAAAACTGTGAGAGGTGTCTAGCGCGGACCTTTTCAGGGGCCTGTTGAGCTGCTGGAGCATGCTGGAGCTGTTGTTGCTGCTAGTGCTGCTGGTCTTGCCCATTTTTGTTCTCAGAATTCAGGACGACATAGGAAGGATGTAAAAGCTGACTCAAAAGATTTGGATGTTGGATGGGCAAATGGTCAAGAAATGGACCGTCGTCTAGCGCGGTGCTAGCGCCAGCCTAGCGCGAAAATCTCCGTCGATTTCTTGATCCTGTCAGATTCTTACTTTTCCTGCTTGCTTGTCTTCTTCTTCTTCTTGGTTGTGCATTCTTCTTCTTCTTCTGCTTTGTTTTTATTTGTCTTGTCTTGCTTCTTCTTTTTGCTGCTCTCTGCTTGTTTCTTTTTCCTGCTTGCTCATCCTGTTATGAAGAAATCTAGCGCCAACCTAGCGCCAATCTAGCGCTGCCTTGCTGTATCACCATAGTCTGCTGGGGGCCCGCTTCTAAACGAAGACTTAAAAACACATCTCCAACCTTAAAAGTTTACGTTTATCTATATTTTTTGAGTAGGGCTTTTTGAGCGCAGTCCATATAGCTATTAGAGCAACGCACAATGCTTTCCCCCGAAACGAAACGTAATAAGTCCCCGACAAGGACTGAAGGACTTTCCAGGCGCTCAAGGCGCCCATTGTCAGGAGACTCACACCGATCTCCGAAATGTTCCTTGTGGAGGCTTGTATTGGCAGAAAACTTGGCAGAAAATATACTCTTCCTAAGGAGGGGCACAGGGTATGATCTAGGTCAATATTGAAGCTCTCCCACTGTGGTCTCAATTCTTTGACCCTGTGGCCGATCGATCTGTTGTCGTTCGGGCCAGCAATGATCCCTTTTCGGCAGCACAGCAGCAGAAGGAGCAAATTCAGCAGCAGCAGCAGCAGCAAACCACCCAGCAGGATCAGCAGCAATCCCAGCGTCAGCAGCAAACACAACAGCAGCAGCAGCAGCCGCAGCAGCAAACCCAGTAGCAGCCACAGCAGCGGCAGCAGCCGCAGCTCACCCCGCAGCAGCAGCAGGAGACGCAGCCAAGGCAAACCACCCAGCAGCAGCAGGAGCAAAATCCAGCAGCAGCAGCAGCAGCAGGAGCAAACGAGCACACCAGGCAGCAGCAGCTACAGCAGCAGCAACAGCAACAAAGTTTTTCTACCCGCTCACCGCGCGCAGGGGGGAGTTGAACCTCGGAGGGGGGGGGTCCATAAGATTGATGTAATCAATTATTTGAGGTTTCTGAGGCGCGTCCACCCCATCACATTTAACTTGCTAAAGCAAGAGCAACTTCAGCTAGCTAAGGCTAGCTTTCGTGATTTCCCTGCAAAAAGAATCTATGTTGACCTTCGTTCACTTTGGGGGTTCTGGGTGAAGGGGTTCCCCCCCCCACATCTCCAACTGCCAAGCAGCGGAAAGGACAACTTGCAATGGTTCGCCAAGGCCAAGGCGATCAACTTTCCGAAGGCCCGGTAGCGCACTGCGGAGCATCGTCGGGTCAGCGGGTGGAGAAGGCATGAAAAGGCATGGTGAGGTCGGCCGGATTCTTAGGTAGCGGGGCAGATTCTTAGGTAGTTTGTGGTTTTCTTTGTTCAAAAGCGAGATGTTTGTAGTACATTCCATGGCACATGTGCCTTTCAAAGCATGTGAACCCTTCACGGGTCTTTCACGCCTGTTTCGATGTTTCAACAGCATGTAACGAGTTGTAAGTGAGATCCAAACCCGCTCTCAAAGCACCGGACTGCCACTGAAGGACCAGAGGCTTGACGGTACCGATCCCGTCCACAGAAAAAGGAAAGAGCCGCAAATGGTAGGGGTCAGGGGTTGGTAGCGAACCTGAGTGACCTCTATGGGCCCACAAACTTCAACGATTTGAACATATATACCCGTTCACCGTTAGTTCGACCATTGAAAGAATGGGACAGACCAGGTGACTTGTAGTGTAACATCCTGAGTAAAACAATGGTTGTTTGGCCAAGACCATTGAAACAATGGTTGTTGGAATCCCAGGGTTTTTATATATATATATATTTGTTTTATAGTTTATATAGTGACCTTTCCTAGGTCCAGGGACTACTGACGGGCCCCAACGTGGGCCCCAACGCCCCGTCAGACTCGAGCATCTTTGACCAGTGTACTAACTTAGAATCTTGATTAATAGACTCCCCCTGTGAAGAGGATATTCCACTTCAAATGGGGGGTTTATCCGGGGTTTATTACTCAAGAGTCTACATTACCTTCCTACCATATACCTATCGCCTTGTCAGCATGACAACTGTGAAAGAACACAACCACACAATCCATACAAAACACTGCACCACCATGACGGACGACCAGAAAAACACGAAAACACCAAAACACCTCCTGTGCGGCAAAAGAGGCTCTTCCCTTCCAGCCCTTCCATTCCCATCATTGATCAAAACACATCACATTCGTCTTCCCTTTGGATTTGTGAGAATACCGCGGCACGCGACGCTGCACGCTGCTGCACGTGCCCCCCGCAGGCCACGGGAAGGAAAACGACCAGGCCTGCCAGGGACTCACCACGTAACGTCGTGCTGTACAAAGAGTTGGCGTGCGAAGAGAACCACTGTTGACCTGGCGCCACCGGCCCGCGACCCGCCGTGCGATGCGAATCGAGATCTGTTTGGGGCGAAACGGGAGGGGTGAGATCCCAAGATCAACGGTGGGGCACGTGGGGCACGGAAGAATGTGGTCCTCAAACATGCCCCAGTGCTCTCAAGTCTCAAGTTATATAGTTTCAAAATGTTTCAAACAATAACGGAAGTGGTAAACCACCTGTTTCTAGATTAAAATGGTCATCCACACCATGCCATCCACGTCCATGATTGTTTCAGGCAGTGTATGTTCACTGAAGCATATTCAAACGAATAGACATCCAGTCGGTCGGACAAAGAAAAACGCCACCAGAGTGGGGTCATGTGAATCATGTGAGGTCTGCCTCCACAGCAGCTCCTTCGCTGGAAACATCCTCGACCAATGTGTTCAGAACAAAACACGCCTTTCATTCCTCAACTCCTGGCATTCGGCGTGCTTTTTTCCTAAGTGAGTGATTGGGGTCCCTTAAACGCCATAAAAACCTTCAGTGTCAGCCTCGGCTCAGGTGCCTCTATACCCAGTGGTGGAAGCAATGGTTTTGGAATGTTTAGGAAAAGGATCGCATTTGGCTCGTTGCACAAACTGCAGAACTTGAGTCCGACACCCTCAAAAGCTCCTTGGACCCTCCAAAATCATTGATTAATTATATCCGGGACAATTTCTCCGGCTAGATAACTTTTCTAGAGACTTCCGTTGGATGCGTTAAAAAGAAACGGTTGGCCTGGCCGGCCTGTGTACTATCTAAAAATCTTGTGAAAAAACAGCTCGGTTCGCTCTCGGGATGTTGGGTCTCACGCCGTTCGCCAGCTGGGCAACCCCTCCAAAGGTGCATATGAACTGGGAGTGCCGTCGACTGTTCCAAAGGACTGGTCTGACCAGCTTGGGCGATCCGATGTCAGGAGCTTCACGCGACGCGACGGCGAAAGGCCATCCACAGTCTGGTTTGAAGGCCACAGCCATTAGCTTCAGTGGACGCCAGTTAGGATTGAAATGAACTTCACATCATCGAGGAACATGACTGTACCGTAGGTCACTGCTGATTTCATGTGTTGATCCGATTTCATGTACGTACGTAGTACTTCAAGGCAACACATACATCCTCGAACTGGATCGTCTGCTAGGCTCGGCTAGGGCGACATATACGATATGGCGACACCATGCGGCGGTAGCCCGTGAGGTTGACCTCCTATAGGTTTTGGTCTAGGTTTCAGAGTAGATGGCACCAGTTATCCCAAGTTCGGTGGTTTATATGGACCCCCATCTGTTTAAGACAGGGTGCCAGTGCCAGTGCCATCTACTCTGAAACCACTGCGTATTCTATTCATGTTCAGGTGGGAGGAAACCCCGAAAACGCCGGGTGCCATGACTCAAAGGCCCATAGCCATCTAGAGTCAGCTTATCGGTCCGGTGGCCCCCCGAGTGTTGACTGAGTAAGTGATGACCGCCACTTAGTCCGCGTCTTCAGTTGGTCCAAGCTGGGTCCTTCATTAAGCAACAAAGGATTGAAGGACCCTATCAGATCATCCCAGTGGGTGGGGTCACTTAACCTCTTTTGGAGGTCAGATGCTCAAGTCGATGAGGTCACCAGTGGGGTCAGATGATGATCCCACTCAGTGGGGTCACACAAAAACCTCTAGATCAAGGCTCTTGAGGTCGAATCAAGTCGAAGCTACGACGAACACAACCAACCACCACCGAAGGAATTCCACCCCGATGGCAACGAGGTGCCAGGAACAACACCCTTCGCCTGACCTGGTTGACTATGAGAAACATGCGAAGGACCTGCGTTGGTCGCCTAAGTATGTCTAAGTTCGCTTAGCAAAACACTGGAGCTTCGAATCCCAAGGTATATATCGTATTGATATCAACCAAGACTTAAACCTCTTCAGAAACAAACAAAACTGCTCCAAACCATAAACCGGCTCCAACGCCCGGCCCAGTCTTGGGGGAAATCATCCACTGAATGTCTTTGGCAAACACACGTCCTTCCTACGCGATGTCGACCGAAGGACGTCCGCTGGGTTCTGGGAAGAAGGGCACCAAAGAAGGACCCAAACCCGCCGAACATCGTCATCGTCCACGACGTCTTGCTCGGCAAAGCCGTTCCCCGTTCCCAGAAGGGGATTCACCCGGAAACCATTTCCAACAACATCATCCTCAATAAGTGACCTGAACTAGGACCCGGAAAACCTGGGGTACCCAACTGGGATAGTCGGGTCCCTCAACCGGAACAGAACACCAAGGGGATGCATCCCTGGCAGCGCAAAATCGTCGACCAAAAGGTCAACCATCCATGGCGGCCTGTGCCACGGTGGAACTCGAAGAGAGGCTGCGCGGGCTTTTGGACTTCGGCCCTGGCGGTCCGGCTGGCTCTTCGTTCGGTCTTGCACCGGCATGGTGTGTCGTCGCTGTGGCGTTGGTGTGTGGGTTCAGTTCGGTTTCACGAGGAACGAACCCAAACAACGGACGTCCTATTTCCCCACCCTTGGGCCGACACCTTCGCAGGGGTCCGGACCCCGACACCGGACCCTCAAAAGCCTATGTATTTGAGGGGCCGGATTCTTAGGGTTATAGGATTCCAAGACTCTGACGAGCACATGTCATGGAAGTGGATGAGCGCATGTCATTGTCCTAAAAGGAAGACTACTGTCCTTGATGCCGAGGGTGTGCCATCCACTTCCATGTGAGTGAGTCGGCATGTAAGTCCTGTAGAATAGAAGGTACGACACAAGGGATGTTGGAGAGCCGGTGCCCTTTCTCCCTTCACGACCATATAATAAGTAGGGTCCATTCCAAACATGTCCAAACCAATATGTATCAGAGTTGAACGTTCGTCACGTCTGCAATCAACTCCACGCAAAGAACACCACCACCGAATCTGGCCGCCACACGGCCACACGGCCTCGGATTTGGCTGCATCTTCCCCATGCGATTCACTGATTCCATGGGGCCATGGGGTGTCAAAATTTATGCGCATAATCACACCTGCCCAAAAACAAATGTCCATGCACCACCCCCCAACCCGCTCATTCACTCCCAAGAGAGGTTCTGTGACCGTAACTAGGACCTTACTAGGATACCTATGGGATAGGCTAGTTCGGGTCCTGACCCACCTCTGTTGGTCCGTATGGGAGAGCTCACCAATCTTCGGCCCGCCTTCGGATGGTGAGCTCACTCAAGTTCTCCTTCGCGGCTGCCCGGAAATCAATGTGACACAACGGAGTAAAAATGACGCACTGCAAGGGAGCCTTCACTGCAAGTCTGATGTCCAAGTGAAAGGTTTTGAATGGGGATGGTTGAAAGATGTTGGAAAGGAAAAACCCCTGTCAAATGATGGCTCTACATCTCCACGGTAAAGGGGAGCTTGACGGTCAACATGATTCTTAAGGTTCCAGGATACCTTTGCAGATGGATATCTCAGGATGAGGCGTGCAAAGAAAAAGAACAGCATCATTTAAAAAACACGACGGGGATCAAACAGAATAATAAAGGAGTCAAACAAATATTCCCTGCAAACAATGAAAGGACAGACACAAGGTAAAGGACAACAGCAACAGCGCGGGCGACCAAAGGATAATGACTGGATGTTTGCCAATGCTACTGCCAATGCTTGCAACACATAATCAAATCACATAGGCGAGGGCGTGCATTGATTGGTGTGGATATGCGATGAGTGACCAAAGAAAGTGTCGTGGTATAGGCAAACATCAACAACCACAAAATAGATCACCATCGAAAACAACACACCCCATTGCCTCAGATCAATGAAAGCGACAAGAACCAAGGCAACCGGGTAGTTTGTGTTTTTGTAAACCTCGTGTTTTGGAGACATGGACCACTTCGGCCAGCGGAAGCAGGACTCCCGGAGCAGGACAGCGAGCAGGACAGCGGGGGACAGAGCTGGCCTGCCCTCGGAGTTGAGAGCTGGAGTCGTCCAAGTTGGGCAGGTCTTTCCTTCGCATGGAGGGCATTGTGATGCCTTCCATTTCGGAGGGCGAATCTCCTCCAGTGCATCGTGGCGCATAGTGAAGGACTTAAGTGATGTGCGTCGTACATTCTACTCGTGATTGGCCACCCGAGTGTGCTGGTACGGAACTGGTCCCACTTCATGTCGCACCACTAGACCACTTGGCCTCATGATCACCCCGAAGTCCTAGCTGTCGGTGATGACTGCCTCCACTCCATTTCTCTCAGATTCCAAGTGGCGCAAATCGGATCCAACAGCTCAAGCAGACTTCCTGGAACCGGTTTGATCTCCTCAGCGAAACTGACCCCTGCACTCTCCATCAATCACGGTTTTCGTACATCCTCAGGATGCGTCTGTGGCTCTGCGAACCACGACAGGAACTGGTCGAATTTCCTGCCCTCCTGGCCTGATCGGCCGTTTGACCTGATCCTGGAGAAGTCAGGACAGGGAGGAGCGTTCCGTGAGCTCTCTCAACCTTCCTTTCAGACTCTCTTCTATTGAAATCAAAACATATTGAATATCGAATCTCTTCTCTCCAAGATCTCTCTGAACGATGCGTTTCAACAGAAGAGAGAGGTCTTCGAGAGAAGAGATTCGATACTCAATGTGACCTCGCTTTTCTGTTGAAATGTATAGCAAGTCGAACATCGAATCTCTTCTCTCCAAGACTCTCTCAACCTTTCATACTCTCTTCTGCCAAGTCCTCTTCCTCGGCCACTTCAGCCGCACGGACCACTTCAACCTTACCTTAAACCCTAGAGTTTTATCTCTTTTCAAGTCACACCAATCTACCAAGGCCAAATCAAATAGGGCACCACCTGCGTGCCCAATGAGGATGTTACATGATCTTAACGCATCTCATGCTCAGGATGGTGTAAGACCACCCATGGTCAATCATTCCGGTGGCCAACATAACCGAACACTCTGAAACTTGGTGGACCTTACGATGAACAAATTATATAAGCGGTCAGAGACTCAATCTGTTTTCTGTCGCAGGAGACAGAGAATGTATGGTCCAAAGTGGACTCTATAAAAGCCAGGCGGCCATGTCACACCCCAAAAATGGTTCATCACAGATATCACAGATCTAGATACTAGTATGCTCTGAACAAGTCAGACATGTGATATGCACAAGACAAAGATGTGCAAAATGCTCTAGGGGGGCATCCGGTCATCAAAAAAGAAGCCAACAAAAGGCAACTCATTGAAAAATTGCCACACCACTTGAAGAGTCTCTTGAACCAAGACAGTGCATGAATATATCTATCTATATATATATATATTGACCATTTTGGAACAATTTTGCACATCTAGTGCATCAAGTAAAAAACACGGCTTCCAATTCCATTTCTCCTCTATCACCTCAATCAAACCAAGGTGTGTTCACCTTTCATCTTGAAGCTATTCTTTATGAGAACCATGACCACTATCACGAAGTTCATGGATGCGTTCAAGCCCACTCACCCTTAAGAAAGCTCGGATACCGGCAGCGAGCATTCTGTCTTGGACATGTTCAGTGAAAAAGTACCCAAGGTAGAGCATCATTCGTACAGAAACCTTCTTGGAGTCCAAGACCTTTTGTCTTGAAGATCAAAGGCTTGTCAGCAGATTTCACGGAGGTAGTGGCCATGAGAGCATGGCCAAAGGCTCGTTGAGCACTGAACTTGGTGTTCGAAGCAGCAACACGAGAAAGATACAGATTTAAACAAAAGGAAAAAAACACTTCTCTTGAGAAGGTGCAAGGGTGTCTCACCTTCAAAAAATATCCCTATAGCATATTTTTAGTCGATTTTGGCTTAGGTCAGCACCGGAAAACATGAGATACTCGTCAGCGAAAACCGCGACCTTGTCAGTGATCTCCCCCACATCCATAGAACCTCAACACAGGATTATATGGTTGATTCTTCCCTCCAAAGCGCTCATTTTGCCTCAGGATTTTTTCAAAACCTGACACCGGTACTTATCCAGGATGTTCATAAAAGTCAAGTGTTCCACCCAGGGATCAAATACTTTCATTGACATTCCAACCCTCTACCCGGGACTGTTCTTCCATGATCTTCCCCTTCCACCAATGAAAACAGTGTCAATTTATCATACACCTCCCAAATCTCTTCTTTGATCTTCCAACCCTCTGCCCGGCAGCTTCCACCAGAGATCCACGCCCCCTGTCCCCACACGGACGGTCGCCACGCCTCGCCGCATCACCCGCCGCCCCTCCTCGAAGGGCGCATCCACCACGATGGACGATCCTCCACCGGGCATGGGCATATTACCGGTGACCTCGGCGCGTGCCACGCGCGAGCTCGTGTTGATGCGGACGTCTAGTCTAGACGAAAAAGGACGTGACGAAGCCAGCAGAGGTGGGTCAGAACCCTAGTTCGGATATCCCAGTCTGGTACCCTGGTGACGGGTCCTATTTACGGTCACTTAACCTCACTTGGAGCACACTTTAAAGCTGTTAGGTACCGAAAAACATGACCTTACGGCCCACTCTAGGTGACACTCTGCGGGACAATCGAGCCACCCGCCCTATGACGAAGTCATCGCACAGGAAAGTCGAAAACCCCACAGCGTTGCACACTGACCCCTTGTGAAGCCTGAATTGCACCAGCATTTCCAAAATCAGGTGGGCCATGAATTGAATGCGCTTTGGGTTTGAGTTTGTAGAGGGTCATGTTTGCACTCAAGGCCCTCTTGGCAAGCTGCGTGTAGCATAGGAGGAACTTATACCTTATACCCATCCGCAATTGCTTTTTGAGCTTCTTGCTCACTCAAGAATGGGCGCCTGCTCCAAAAACAGTCCGTAGGAAACCTCCAATAGATGAAGTCGCATCTCGCATCAATATCAACATAGGCCCATGCAGGCCATGCTCATGATCTGGCAAATACTCTGAAATAAGAAACCCGAGAAACTTGCAAACCTTCCAAAAGAAAGGCACACACACCAAAATGGAACTGCTGGCACATCGCCATACATCGCCCATGTGGAACTGCTGTGCCGTATTGTGCCGTCCGACTGGAGCCCATGTTGCCCCGACTGTTGCCGTAAAGGACGTGCCTGTTTGTGGGTAGTTAACCCAAAGACCATGATAAACATCGACTTGGACTTCCAGGGTGTATGTATGGAATATTTACAATTATTTACATCCATTGGGGTGGTTGAAAGGGGAGCTCAATGTAGGCCCTTGACAACCATTGTTTTACCTAAGGATTTTACACCACAGCAGGTGAACTACGTTAAAATTAAGTGAATATAAAGTGCATAAAAACTTCTAGGGTAGGCATGTCTGGATCTTGCAACTGTAACAATCTTGTTGCCTTTTTATACATCAAAACAGGCAGAAATTTGGCCTAGTTCTAGGGCTCCAGTTGTACAGATCTGAGAAGGTGGAACTGGGGTGGGTGCCAGGAGGGTCCAGTCATACCTTCGCAGGTATGACTGGAGAGCATCGACTGGAGCCCTATAGGGCAGATGATGATGAAGGTGTTTGGGTGGGTGCCAGGAGGGTCCAAATCAATACCTTCTGTGAGGAGGTACGACTGGAGCCCAGCCTAGGGCAGTGATCATGCAAAGTCCAAATAGATCACATCTACTTGGCACACCACTGTGTTTCACATGACAAAATTGCATGGATCAATGGAAACCAACAGAGGTTAAGTCACCATAAATAGGACCTGTCACCTGGGGTACCAGACTGGGATAGCCGAACAGTCGGGTTCTGACCCACCTCTGTTGGGAGTTTGGACTTCCATCGGCTTCCGGACGTCTCCGACTCCGACTGCTTCGGCTCCCGAACCGTGCGCTCAATCGAATGGCCGCTGCTGAACAGGAGCCTGGAGAGAGGTCACCGCGCGTGTGTCGCGACACCAACGGGGGCCCCCGGGAGTTCTGGTGTGACGTTGCTTTCGGATTCACCTTCCAAGACTAGATGCTTACAAAAATGAAAGACCTGGTGTCTGTAGTGTAATGAAATCGAACATAAAACAAACAAACTGCTCGGTGGTTCGGCGATGACCCAGGCTACTGAAACCCAATGATGGGCCGGGAAGCCAGGAATTTTCAAGTGCAAGCAAGGAGGATTTTACGCAGATTGCTTTAATTTTTGACCTCCCAAGCGGTTCCCCCACTGGTAAACCCAAACGGCGTCGGAAGAACCTACATCGGGCAAACCGTCTCTTTAGACTACATTGGTCCAAATATGTCCGAATAAATACTCCATTGATCTCAATTGTCTTTCACCAGGAGGTGTCTTCGTGCGCTATGCGTTTGGGTCACACAGGACTAGGAGGATGCGGATGCAGGTTGGGACTCAATCAACGCGTCGCAGCAAAAAACAAAAGGATTTCGCTGGGGGCAAATGAGCCTGCCCTATATGGGTGTGTATTAAAATAGGGAGACCTCCTAAAGACTCCCGGGAAGAAGGAAAATAGTCTAAAACCAATAGTTGGGTGTTTCATGGTGTCTCCTATTTGAATACACGCCCTATATACGCCTACAAGAAACCAAGTCCAGTTCCAACATCTTCCGAAGGTGTGTTCCTTCGATGGTAGGCATCCAGGTGCCCATACTCCACTCATTAAACTTGAATCTCAAATCCACCCGAACTTGGAAACTGATTTGATCCCTTCTTCCAAAAAGCTCGACACCCTCTTCGACACCCTTCTTCACTTCTTGTCGCTTAGATGTTCTGCTCCGATTTCTGCTCCGATTTCTCGAAGTTTCCCCTGGAAGTCCAGTCGACCGTGTTTAAAACATGTTTGATCTGGTTGATCAACAGAAAGGTACAAAAACCTTGGTTTATTTACTATTTGAATCTATTTGACTTGATTTCTTTTACCCAAATGGTTGCTTTACCCATTCTAAGACCCTTGGTAGAAACAGGCAGCTCGGTTGTTCGGCCACGACTGGTTCGGGATTCTGGCGCCCCAACTTGATCCGATCGCCATTGCTGGCGGCCATCAAGAGCTGATGCAGCTCGGAGGAGGGCGCCTGGAGATTCTGCGAGATCCACGGCCGGGACGGGTGTGATAAGAGCCATCCTTTTTGAGGTTCAGGGATGGTCAGAGGTCTTCTATGTGATTCTTTTCACTTAAGACATGACATCTCAACACTATGTGCGCTGGAAGAAGCAGTTAGCTACCAAGTAAGAGGATGGGGATGCTCATAGTTCAACCCACTGGGCATTCCTTTGCCACCACCTTTCTAGAGCATCTGCGTGGCTGCGCGGTTACTTGATCTGGTCTTGGCATGACTGAGGATCTACTACCCTATGGCCCTATGGATCTACTTACTCTCTGAGAGGGGATTGGAGGCTCCAAGTATTTGGTGAGAAGGTGAATCCTTGGATCCTGTGGATCACTTTTGAGGCCAAAGACCTACCAACACCCTCACCCGCGTCACCACCTAATTGAAGTCTCCATTTCAGCCACAACTTGGAGACCTCCAGAGTCAGGTGCTGGTGGCCGCACAACAACCCGCAGGTCTCCCCTCGATCAATCCACTGGACCCGGGAACGGGAAAACATCTTCCTGAGAAGGGGGGCTTCATCCATATAGGCCATAGGGAAAATAACATACCATCACCACCCCTAGGGCTCCGTTTTCGTACCTCCTCAGGTTCGGTATGACTGGACCCTCTAAACCCATGCCAGTCCCAGCTTCTTAGACCTGTACAACTGGAGCCCTATAGGGCACTATACAATCACCCAATCGACCCAATATAGCCAATCGAGAGGATATACGTACCGACGCAGATGGATCCCGAGCACCTCCAGAGGTTGAAGCTTCAGACGCGATCCCACACACATCACAGGACCTCGGGAAGTCTCGGACTTGCTTCCGCAGCTGGGACATGAGTGAAGAAACATATGAGCCAGAAGGGATTCACCCATGGGGAATAAAGAGAAGAACCACCTGTCTCAAGCAAAACCCCAGGAAAATTGAGAAGGGAAGGCGGGGTGAAAGGATAGCAGTTTTTGCCACCTCATGCAGCAAATTCCACGCATTCAATTTGCCAGCTTTCTGCGGCATGTGGGTGTTGCAGTGGTTCAGGAAAACATTGTTGTTGGAATTGAAGTCCACAACCAGTGTAAAAGGGTTTGTGCAAAACTTCTCGAGCTTGTCGACCTAGCCACGCGCTTGCGCCGACACAAACATGGAACGTGTGGGTCGAATCTACGCCACTTCTACCATACCAAAGGCTCGCTCACACCGTTGGTTGAACAAGGACCTCGGCGAACACTGGAAGGTGTAGGATGGCGATTGTGGTGCGGAAAGCCTTTGGACCAAAACATGAACCAGCCTTTCTGCAGTTCGTGACCCAACTTGGAGCACCATCTGTTTGCATTTCCAGGCCCTGCTTGTGACCGAATCAACCAAACTATGTCAAGTTCATTTATAGAACTCCAAATGGTTCACTCATTTGTCAAAACCCACAAAAATTCCTCCAAATCGCCACGCCACGCAGTGATGCTCGCCACGCCACGCACGCCACACCGAGTGAGCAAGATCCAGGGCCCCCCGCCGGGCTCCAGGATTCCCTCCGAGGACGTCAGCCGTCCCCAACGCCTGGGTGCGGCGCTCTCCGCGACGGCGCCGGAGCGGGTCATGGCAGGCCACAGGTAGACCAAGAAACAACAATGGCATGAAAGTCATGGCAAAAAACATCCAGGAAATCAATCATCCCACATGTTTATGTAGTTTTTGGTCAGGTAATCCATATCAATATCCATCCATGTCCATATACTACAAAATCGAGAAAACCACCCCCAAAACATGTCCACCTTGTCGCACCCCCATCTTGAGGCACCTTGAAGCTTCCAGGTGCCCCACACACCCAAAAAAAAACGAAAAAAAAAAACTGTTTAAAAAAAAAAAAAATGTATGTGAAAACCTGTGTTTTTCATGGTTTGGTTCGGGCCCCTGTTACATCCTGGTCGACACAACGATGGCCGGTCTACACGCCTCACCTGTGGGGCGTCGGACGTCAACGTACTCAACGTACCCTCACACCAGTGTCGTGTGATCGTTGCACGTAGACAGAAAGAAGGCAACATGCACACGGGGTTTTGAGCTCTTCTATGTTCTTTGGTAGAAAAAGGACACGGATGGGGATAATCTGTCATGAGTTTGGGACTTGCATCAAGATCCAGAACTGCGGCAGCCCAATGATCTAAATGTCGTGACTCCATGTTTCGGGGGAGAGAGCACCCCAGGTAAGAAGCACAGAGCAAGCTGCGAGATAAGGCTGGTCTTTCAGTCTGTTTCACTGCTCAACTGGATGGCCCGTGGCCACAAGGCCGTTTGAACCAAGGCGCCGTTGAGCGTCCAAGGACATGCTGGTGAAAAACTCCTGCGAGGGAAGGTTGACGTGGGGCAGATGCTCAGAGAGGCCAAGAAATGATCGCCAGAGAGTGCTAAGGCTAGGCGAGATGGTGACGGCAGGAGCAGCGAGATGAGGCCTTAGCCTTAGATCGAGAAAGCAGAAGTAAGAATGGAAAAACGGAAGAATTAAAGGAGGAGCAAAGACATATTCCAGCAGACTGATCAAGACGGATATAGACGGATCAACATACTATTCACACAAGGAAATTGCACTGGTTTTCAAGATTGCTGGGTATCAACAAGTTCACAGAAGGAGTTCCGGTGACCTATGGAAAAACCCACCGGGTCGAGGTTCCTGGTGCTCAAAAAAACACAAAACAACAAGTGCATAAGAGAGAGAGAGAGAGGGAGTTCTTTCCGGGCCGTCTCCAATCAGTTCCACAGACTCCTCTCTACTGGTAGCTAGAATCAGCTAGAATCAGTCCGGAGAGCACGGACATGGAGAAAACCAAACAGTCCAAACATATCCCAAAGAGGCACATGACTTGATATGTTCCTTTGATTTTTCCAAATGTCTTGCATATGTTCTTTAATAGTTCTTTTCATTGTCCTTCGCAATTTCCTGTTAACATGTCCAAAAGAAACAGGGACATCTGCGCGCTGTTGGAAACGCCACTATGTTCCATCGCCATCGATGATCCGAACACGACACCCAAGAACCCGTGAACACACTCAAAGGCCTCCTTCCAAGAGAGGTTGAGAGACCTGAACGTTCGGACCCTGGTCTGTGGTACATAGGATGGATGGGCGACAAAAGGGCTGAAGCATGCTGAACCTCTCTTGGTTCAAACAACGCCCGTGCCCTTTGTAACATCTGTACACCGATGTCCGCCCCGCAGCAGCTTGTGTCGTTCACCGACCCTTGGCAAAGAACCACCCGCCGACCCTCCCTTTGTCTCCACCATCAACACCGAAACACCACACAAACCCCACCCACCAACCCCAAGTTCCGCAGTTTTCTCCCAAGTTCCGCAGTTTTCCCCCAAGAATCCGTGAAAACACGTGAAAAAACATGACACACGCCTCCTTCCCACGGCGTGGCGCAACCCAAAAGAACCCCCTCGGCACGATCGCCACCTCTCGCGTCCCGTCCTTGCGGAGCCCATGGCCCTCGCCGCCCTCCACGCGACGGCCCTGCACCGTCTTGGTGCCCGTCACGTCCTTGGGCACCGTCGTGGCCGGCGCGGCGGACCGCGCGGGACCGCGCGGCGGGAGGGGGGGAATGCACGGGTGGAGGGTGAAGTAAGAACGCGCCGCGCCGAGGCCGGTGGAAACATCCGTGGACTGAAGGAAACATGGGACTGAAGAGGTGGCTGGTGGAGTTGAGGTGCTGGGGAGGTCAGTATTGTATAGTGTCCTTCCAGCACAGACAGTACGACTGCAGGGGGCGTCTCCTCCGTTGTTGAATCATATCATATCCCATATACTCCATGGGACTGGAATAATATGCCTACATTTACCCCTCTGGCACCACCCCAACTGATCGGCATATACATCTATGACAGTCCCATTAATTAGTCGCGTCTGGTGTATTTACACATCAATCCTCTGGTGGGGTAGCGGCCAACCCTTTCCGAACTCCACCTCGCTCGCTCGGAACTCACTACGCCTCGAAGTAGGGAAGGAGAATGCTCGCGTGCCTCGTTCGGGCGTCGAGCGTCGAACCGAACCTCTTCGGTCGGTGAACTCCTCGTCAGACGAAGCGATCCACGGCGTGGGGCGTGAGGCTGGCGGATGTGAACACACTGAGGGGCTCGCACGACCATCACTATGGGAATGGCATGAGAATTGTAATGGGGTGTAGTACCAGCACTCATCAACGTGGTTTAAACTCACAGACAAAACTTCCTGAATCAGTACCCAAAGGCGACCTGACCCTGGACCCCCGAACCAACTGCTACGTACGTGTGTTCGGTCCAGTTCACCCTGGCGAAGTGAGGGTCAAAACCCTAGTAAACTGAGGGTCCTGCACTGAGCCTTTGGGTAGGTTCTATCACTCCATGGGACTGGCATATTGGCCGATCAAGTCACCCTAGAAACCACCCCAACTGATTGGCAAATATGGCAGTCCCATGGAGTGTCTGAGGTAGGTTCGATCATCCCAACTATAGACTATAGGATTGAAACATCTTGAAACTACTCAGAAAGGCACTATACTCAAAAAGGTCAAACGATGTCAAACGCCCACGCGAACAGCACCGTGCAAGCAAGCACTCGGTACTCTACAGGTCTTTTGCTTCATCTTTGTTTTTGCCACTGCAGAAAGTCCTTGGTGCACCTATATTACACTCCTACATCGGAAGTCAAGTTCACCGCCATCCACAGTCCGAATCGAAGGGATTTCCAGTCATTTCGTGCTCGTCGTCGAGTCTTCCGGAGCCACAGCAGCCACAAAAACGATGCTTTTCATGGAAAAACCACTGGACAAAACAGCCTGTTTGGGTGAGAAGTGTTGATTCTTGAGACATGAAACATCCTAAAACCACCCCCCCACTCTCCTCGGTCACCTCTGGAAAAAAAAGACCCACGCCGCCACGCCGAGGGACGCGGTGGGGAGCTGGTTGGCCACGTCCCAAAGGCCTCCATCCCGCGCCAAGACCTTGGAGGACAAAGGCCGCTTTGGGGAGTGGAAGAAACCCGGAGTAGAGTATGGTAGAGTCACCCAACAGAGGTTGAAGGACCTTATAGGACTACTGATAAAACCCATAGGATAGCCAAAGTCATCTGACGTAGAGCTGTTGGAGTAGAGGTGAAGTGATCCGAAGTCGGGTCCGGGTAGATTCTAGTTCCCCTAAAGGGGCTCCTGGCCCACCTCCTGAGGAGAAGGTTAGGGTGGATTTGGGGGGTCGAATACCACCTTCTGAGCCCTATAGGGTTCTATCACTTCCGGCGGAAACCGGGGTCACCTGGCTGGATGGCCCTACTTTCTCCAAACAGTCTGGACACAAAGTCCAAGCACCAGATGTCAGTATAGCTTTCGCCCTATTTTAGTAAATATGGTGCAATGGTGCGATTGTTCCATTACGTGTTGCCCTATAGTCATAGTTGCGTTTTTGGCACAGCCGCCAGCCACTGACTGCGGTCGTAAACCAGGGGATCGAATGAAGGAACACAGGGCACACACAGCAGCCTTTGAACATGCCAAGAGAGGTTGAAGAACCCTATAGGTTATCCCATAAGTACCGTAGGCCGTAGGTATCCTGGTATAAGGTCACTCAACCTCTGTCAGTGGAGAATGACTTGGATCTGTTGATTTGCTTGAGGAACCAAGAACACATCACCCATCTTCCCTTGAAGGTGAGTGAATCGTGTGAATTTCAGTTCTGGAACATCCTAACATCCACATCACCCTGCAAAAACCAAGCATGATGCACCTAGCAGCTGCTTCCAAGGGGTCACCAACGGAGATCTCCACACTACTTACAGGTCTCCAGACAGGGCACTCCTTGGAAGCGCTAGGTAGCAGGAACATCGCAGCTGGTTTTTTCTGGGCGGAGGTTCAGTTACCCCCACGGGCGCCACGTGGACCAACCCGTTACGATCGCATGGCGATCAGCACCCTCTGCGGACCAACACGTGTGTTCTGGTGACCAAATCCGGTATCCAGAAGGATCCAATACCTGTTATGGTCCAAAGCTGCAGCAGCCTGGCCAGGAGGGTGCTGGAAGAAAACACAGAGTGATCCTACATTGAGTCTATCCTATTACCAGTAACAGCGGATGATGCTAGTTAGTAAAGGCCTTGTTCAAAAATAGTTATAATTTATAATTGTGTATTGACTGTTACAGATAATACAACAGACCCAAATCCTATACATGTAGGGCACTGTGAAGGGGGTCAATGTACGTTTATCCAGTCTCGATGTGGGTACCCGGTACATGTACACCCTGGAAGTCCAACTTGAAGAACTGTCTTTCGGCAACCCAATTTCAGGCATTCCCTCAGTAATAAGGGCAAAATATCGTCTTTGGAATCCCTACTACCTTAAGTGACAAACCTACAATTCACATCAATCCACCATCTACTAGTGCGCTGACACCTAGGAGGGGGCGGGTCAACCTTTTTATGTCGAAGGTGGTAGGGATTCTTTCCACTTCGCTACATGTACCGCTTGGGCTCGGCCTCCCGGGGTCCGCCCGAACGGCGGTGCGGCGTCTCTCTTACGCCAAGGCTCCACGGTACAGGGAGGTTCGTCCTGTGGGTCGGTGTGCAGGACCAACGGATGAGCAACCAACAGTTCGGTGGGTCAGAACCCGACGCTCGACTCGGCTATCCCAGGCGGGATCGGGATCCCCCAGGTGTTCCGGGTCCTATGGCCCGGTCCTTCAACCTCTGTTGGAAGGGATGGATGGTGAAAAAGAACACATACCAGCTGCTTCCGTTCAGGGTGACCTGGCTGGACAGCCCATGAGTCAATGACAACCCTACACTGCTGAAAAAGGTCACCAAACAGAACACCCAGGTCCAGGAAGCGCTCACTTATAGTCGCTTCAGTGTGACTGGTCACATCGCCTGGTGGATGATGAAAAACACAGATGTACCAGCAGAGGTAGCCAGTGACCAGGTCACTAGGACCCGGAAAACCAGGAGGATAGTCGAACTAGGATAGTCGAACGTTCGGGTTCTGACCCACCTCTGTTGGGTACCAGCAGTCACAAAACGGGGTGCCGAACTTGGAGGTAGTCGGGGTACCCCGTCGTCACATCCACTCACTGGATGGGACTTAAAAAACACCCCGACATGTGACTCCTGGTATTGTCGCTTTGGTGTGAGGAATGCGCCCGAAATCCACAAATTGCTTTTGACCCTTCCCAAACACTCTGTGGGACTGGATACTGTTTACTTGCATTTGACTCCTGAAGTCAAGAACACCCCAATGAAACCATGCCAGTCTCACTTGTCGAGTCCAAAATTCGTGTCATTATTGTTAGGGTTCCTGGAAGTTCCTGGTGGCGCTTTCACCCCGCTTTCGCCGGATGATTCCAGACTTCCGACAAAGACCAAAGTAAGCTGGCGTCGTCGAAACGCCGCAGTGATCCTCACGACGAGTTCCCCAAGCTTGAAGGAGGTAATGACAATCCTTAAGGCTCCAGTCGTACCTCCTCAGAAGGTATTTGGACATATTTGGACCCTCTGAACCCCACTCAAAGCACCTTCTTAGAATGCACTTGGAGCCCTAGGAAACAATGACTAAACATCACTAAACACTTCTGAAGATTGGAGCAAGATGCCAAGAATCACCTACCATGCAGGTTCTGGATATGTCTGAAGGAATTCTTCGAACCATTTCGATCGACTGGCGGCCTTGGAGTGTCCAGTTGCAGGTGTTGGAAAGCCCAGGACGGGTCAAGGATAAGAGTTCCGATGCACCAACCGACCGTATGTTGAGGAATATGGTGTATCATGGTGTATCAGCGCTTCCATCAACACTTGGCTTTCACTCTACACCCCTCATTAAGCCCCTGCCCATCCCTCCCCAAAAGAAAAACGACATCACACCACCACATGCTATACTACGCACCACACCCACGTCATCCCACATCCCTCCGCCTCGCGCCAGCGGGTGAACAGAAAAAAAACACCAAGCGAACGCTTGACGACTCGACTTCCAGCGCGTCCTGTGGGACCAACAGCATCCCCAGGATGAGACCCTTCGCTTGTCCGCCCAGGAGTGCCAAATGCTCCTGGGCGACGCTATACGCGGCGCGCCTTCGCGCCTCGCGCCGCCGGAAGGGCGACCGGTTCGGGACGACGATGTTTCAGTGCGCGGCGGGGTTCAGACGAGAACATGGCGATGAGCGGGGTCAGGTGTGGAAATAAATAACCCCAAACTGGGGTGGAATAAGAAAATGCTGTGAGCTTGGTCCCACAATTATAGAGCTGAATTTATCGTTCGGCAGTTCAGCCAATTCGTGGCTGCGACATGGGTTGACCACTCGGAAAGTCGCATGGCGCTGCTCGCCATGCTTCAACATCGATGGCCATCTGCCTGCACGTTCGGCGCTTCGTTGGTCTTCCTCGCCCCGCGAGCACTCTCATCACCGAGGTGCAGGTGAGGCGCCACAATGCCACCTACACACGCCTTTGGAGGGCGCACGCACCTTGGCACCTCGCACTGCCTATTTGTGGCAGCCTTCTTCGGCACCGAAGGCTTCTTTTTTTGCGAAGTCCGTTGACTCAAGTAGACTCCTGTGGACTTCGCAACAAAAAAAAGACGAACAAGATCAGGAATTTCATCCGGATTAGAAAGAAGCCAGGCAGTGTAAACTCCACCCAAGAAGAACAGCTTCCGAGTGCAAGCGATTTCGCCCAAAAAAGCCTTAAGGGAACCACTGCAGGATGGGCCACACGCTCGCCACACGCTCGCCAGACCACGCCCTGCCCTGAAGAACCACGGAGATGGACCAAGCACCCTGTGGTGAAAACGACCCCCTACTTTTGGCTTGAAGCTGAAGAACCTCCTCAAAGAACCTCCACTTATACGTCCATTCAGCCCAAGGATGAGCTGAAGTGATCGGCTGACCCTGCCACCGGCGCGACCCGTCGCACCGCGGTCGGAAGGTCTCCCGCCGTCCTGGACAGGCGGAAGCCCCGTGTCAGCTTCGAACTCGCCTCAAAAAGCGTCCGGGTCCGCGGAGTGGGGATGAGCATTGGGAGGATGAGCATGGATGAGGCAAGCAAAGCCTCAAAAGATCTGGATCACTGGAATGGAGCCAAGCAGAGCCGGATCTCCAAGCAGTTTGGTGTGGTGGGAAGGTGACTTCAAGCGGAGCCTCTTGTACAGCCAAACGACATCTCACGCGGACCTTGGAGGTGAATGTTGTACGTGAGCCCCCCAAAAAGGACCCCACCATCTTCCAATTGTCTTTCCCTAAGGCTCCAACCATCTCCTCAGGAGGTGGTGTTCGACCCCCCTGGCACCCACCCCAACCACCGAACCTCAGGAGGTGGGCCAGGTTTGATCCCATAAAAAGATCGCCACATGCAAACGTTTGGAACAGTTGGAAGATCCAGGAGAAACTGTGCCCTGGACCCAATTTCACATTGGATAGAGAGGCGGTGCATCTTCCCCGCCCCCACGAGCCCACGATGTAAAAGCGGGTTTCAGCCTTGGCAAAACTCCCAATTGACAAGGACCCTCTTCGACTCTTACCCTAGGGATCCAGTCGTACCGAACCTCAGAAGGTACTTGGACCTCCAAACCTACATAACAGTTCCTCCGATCACCTTCTGAGAAGGTACTTGGATCCCTAGGGTTAGGACACCTGGATGGGGTTGATGGAAAACCCTGGTGTCCGACCCGGCGACCAGCGACCCCTAGCATACAGCATGCAGTGCGAAGAGCAAGTTGTGTCCAGTCTCAACCTTCGTCGTAAACCGCCGGGCTGCCTTGCCCTATAAAATGCCAGCCGGTTGAAGCTGCAAACCATGTTGGCTGCTGCTTTGGTGTACCACTGTGGATACCAAAGTAAGAGGTCCGTGTCTAAGTTGTGCGTTTTGGTGGAAACACTTTGGTTGCCGAACATCCAGCAAAACACATGGAGGGATGCAATGCCGGGCGCCTGTATTTCGATAGGGAAACACCCAACCTGGGTTGGTCTATGTTCCTTCTGAAACAACACATGGAGTCTTTGGGAGCTCCACGAATTGTAATACATACCCAAATTGTGACGTGGAGTTTTGGAGTCAGAGACACGATCAACTAGGATACCAAGTTGGGAACCCTTGAGCCAACCAACGGGTTATATAATCTGGTTCTTCAAAGTGACCAAACTTGATAACCTGGTTGGTTCGGTCACTTAAGCCTCCGAGTAGGGTCACTTAGGAACCTTCAAAAGGTCACTTTGAAGAAGCTGGAATCTGCTCTTCGCGATTGGATCTGACACAAGTCCGCCTACTCCAAAAAAGCACGCCCACACCATGCATGTGAGTGTGGGTGATGAGGGGCGACATGGGATCAGTCGTGGAATTTCTGGTGTTCATCAAAAAAACACGTGCCTTTTACGCTATACACGATCACCCGGAAACTGCGGTCAAAAGTTCCAACTATAAACAATTGATGTTAACTAAGCATCAATCATCTCGGAGATCTATTATATACTGCGAGTACGATGGATATTTCCTGCGCTCACCTGTCATTGAATCTCCCAGCTCGCTAGCACCTGGGCGCTCCCGACAGAGCTGCACCAGCTGTTTCGATGCGCTCTGCGCTCGCTGACCAATGAAGGCCCGCTGAAAGAGCAGCAGGATGGCATCCAGGTCCTGCAAATCGGTCGGTTCCCAAACGAAGCCCAACGCAGTCTGCCCCGGAACCAGTACGCAGCGCCAGGAGAACTTCTTGTGATGGTGTTATTTTAGCCACATCACGCCCCCCGAGGTTGGAGTGGCACCTAAGTCTTTGTGGCCAGGTGTGGCCAAGGTTTTGGTCTTCCTAATCTCACCTCTCCTTATACTGCCAACCTATCTTTTCAATATAGGCCTCCCTCACCGCCTCCCTCTTCTCTCTTCGACTGTTATACAAAACAGGCTCACTACTAGGCTCACTTTTCCACTTCACCAGCGAGTCTCTCTCTCTCTCTCTTTTTCCGTTCCTTAAGAACAACCATCCATTCTAGTTCGGCCTTTCGTTTTCCGAATCTCCCTCGCCCAATCGCATCTTTCTCCTAGCAACCTCTCTCTCTCTTGCCATCAGGTCATCAGGTCCGCCGAATACAACTCGTACCTCTTCCAACCCTCTTCTCCCGCCTGCACGACGTAGTCGCTGGGCGGCCCTGCCAAAGGCAACCGGGAGACCTCGGCGGCACCCGGTGCATAGACTCGACACGGTGGAAAAGCAGCGATCAACCATCAACCGCCCAAGTCCAGGCCATGGGGCACTGCCTCAAATGAACACATACCTGGCACTTCCCTTCCTGTCTATAGATGGATTTTGAGACCAATCGTTTTGGCATCGGCTGCAGGGCCCAGTGATTTGGTTCCGGTCAACAATTCTCGCGCATCAACGATGCTGCAGCGTTGACACGCCTCGCTGCTGTTCGTTCAAACTGTTCAAACTCAGGCCAAGAAAGGGCCATTGGTAGCAATCACCCCAGGATGGAGAAGATTCCTGTATGGCAGCACCGCTGACAAGGAGTGACCGCTTTCAATCTGTATATCCTGGAACAGGGCACGGACTCCAAAATGAGCACCCAGCTTGAGATGCATCGAACTTTCCTCTGATGACACTCCCAAACGCTCCATGGGACTGCCATGTCGGACTGCCGATCAGGCCAGGGGTGGTGCCAGTGGGGTCAATGGGTCAATGGGGTGGCATATTTTTGGCAGTCCCATGGAGTGTATGACACTTGGTGCGCTTGGTGACCCGGCTGGCCGGTTGGCCCTCCGGCAATCACTTGGATCTGTCTCCACGCTTAATTAGCCATTGCTCATCAGCCGTCGTGCGGACCAACTGACAGCGATCGAGCCCTGATAGCATACATGCTCCCAAGAGCCCTGGCCGCATGAAAATCGAGTCTGGTGCAGTTCTCCTCATCGATACTTAGAACTCAATAGCACAGAAGGAACTCTTATCCGTTACCTTGCTCAAAGTGAAGTCTGCTCCGTCAAAGACGTGGAGACAGCGGCACAGCAGCGGCAAACCAAAAGGATGATCACACAGGCAGAGGAGGGGAGGCACGTAAGGAGATAAGTTCCATCATGCATCATCATGCCATCACAAAAATCAGTTTCCTTGAACTCTTCAACTGACATCAACATTTTACAATTTTCCCTTTCTCCCACTATCTTGCTCTCTCTCAACGTCTGAAGTACGACCGTTTGGAGAACCAACACATCTCCACCTGCCACCGCTGAACGACCCCAAAACCGCCCACGGCGCAACGCTGGGCTTCCCCGGCGCCGTGCAAGGCGCGGCACGCGCTGGCGGAGGCTCTCCGCTCCAGGTCGTCCAACCTGCACGAGGTCGAAGGCGTCGAACGCGGAGGGTTCCACAGGGCGGGGGCCGGGCACGGATGTCTGATTTTGTGCCCGGGAGGAGGTTCTGGGTGGGCATGGAAAACTGAGGTATAGATCTGTCATGAGCGTTTTGGGCTTCTCAAAGTTTTAGATGTCCGGATGTCTTCCTGCTTTTCGGTGAGACTTTGTGGGAAAAGTCAGGGCTCCAAGGGCTCTGGAGACACCCCAAACAACACATTTCGTTTTCATCCTCAATCCAACCATGGCAACAAGAATCCCAAACCATCCATGGGACTGACATCTTTTACCGATCAGTGTGGTGGAAATTGGTTGAGGTCGTAAGTAAAATCTTCGAGTCCGAATGCTTTGGGTTCTTTCCTCTTCCACCGAAGCTGAATGTGCCACAGAGACTTCCCAAGAGAGGTTAAGTGACCTGAACTAGGACCCTACTGGAGTACCCAACTGGGATAGTCGGACTAGGTAGGGTCCTTCAACCTCTGTTGGTCTGATCTCACAAAAAGCTGGCTTCCTTGGGCTGAGCTTCCTTGGATCCTGGGTGAGACTTCTTTGGAGAAGTAGACGGCCAAAGACGCTTCAACCGAGTTGCAGGAGTGGGTGAAACTGGATCCAGTGACAAGGCCCGAACAGCTTGGCCGGTTGGGTTGTGGGCACCAAACATCACCAAACTATAGTTTGACAAGGATGTGCAGTTGCTCCGTGAAGCATCCCATACCACCAGTGGTGCTCACTATATAGACTATGGCGCCATTGCCCCAAGGGATCGATCAACACCAAAAGAGCATGTCGGTGATGGACTGCCCCAGGCCAAATCGTGGGAACGTGTGGTCCGATGCCAAAGAGCATGTCTTAGTCCTCCAGTTGGTTTACTATACCCTAGGATTCCAAAGGTTAAGTTAAACTTAGTCTTTGATGAACAACGATGTTTTACTTGAGGGCTGCAAGAAGGACGATGTTTTACCTTTTGCATGGGTGCTGCTGCAAAAGAGGAAGATGTGTGTTTTTCTAGAGTATTAATGTTGTATTTCCCGCACATGTTGCCCAAATAACTCTCACAGGATACCCCCTTGGCCCACCAAACTGACGGTTTTCTCGGTTGTGCGTTGCACGAAGTCGCCAAGCGAAGGTCTTCATTCGCATTCGAAAACATCTCATGACTGCCAGCTCCCTCAGGGAGGACCTCCTAGTCCTACTAAACGCACTCCACTGCTTCAGCTGCTTCATAGCATCCTCATCACAAAACGTGTGTTGGAACCGGGGATTCAGTCCTTAGATCGATGCATATTAAAGCCTCGATAGCATTTAGATCGATCGATCCATGTCACTGATTTTTTGCACATAACATCTTTGGGAACTCACTACTAGTTGGATCTGAGATTCGTTGACGCTGGACGACATCACGCAGAACATGGCACATGGACTTAGCAGTCATGAAAGGGCAAGTGCGGAAGGTTCAATCAGTAGTGAGATACTCTCACAACAGCTGTGTTGAAGATTGCATGTGTGTTTGTTTTCTTGTTGGGTCCTGTTGGGGTAGTGGTTGAGAAAGTCAGTTGCCAAGGCACGTGAAACTTTGGGATCATTACCCAACAAAGTTTGCCTCGTTGGACGCTCATCACATTGAGCCTCCGGTAGGCCTTGAGATACGCAAAACCAGCCTGTTCGATATCCCGAGCTTGCTCAACAGTCCTTGGGAAGTCACATCCCACATGAACTTTCAATCAGCCTAGCAACCAACAGCCCAACTGTCCACAGGAGAAACACATGAAGCTGAAGGACGGACAACAAAACCGTCATTCATTCACCTTTTTAGCATCACCCAAGACAAAAGTGGTCTGTCCGCAGCCATGGATGATGGCCAAGTGGCAGGCATCTGCCACATCGTTCGGTGAGGCCGAAATATCTTGTGATGCCTCTCCTGGGTGGTGGAATGGTCCCAGAGTTATATACTCGAAGTGGTGTGGAAAGTCTCAATGGTTTTATGGGTGGATTGATTGAAAGTAGATTCCCCTATTAGGCACAGAAGTCTTACGTTTGTTGATATATGGATGTCGATAGCTTGATATCTCCTGGGTCCACCTTGGTCACCCGACTTCAGTTGTTTTCAACACACAAACCTGCATGTCCACCGGTGTTTTTTCTCCTCCGTGGGCAACCATGGAATTGTCAATATACACATCTAGTGCATGGCACCAGCTGTGACACTGCTGTACTTGATTTTATGTGTGAACAATTGCGGTCAGCATGCCAGCAATGACCAAATTTTGCAAAGTAGATTGTCTTCTTTGCTTGCTTTGCATGATCCACAGCGCGAGAACTGTTCAAATCACCAAATTGGCGAACTAATCGTTCATGTGCGTCCTTCTCACGGGCTAGCTCTAAAAGTAGTTTCTTGTTTTCAAGTTGCAGAGATGAAATCTGCTCAAGGAGGTTTTCACCTTCCATCTTGCCCTTGCCCTTGAAGCACATCGCGATAATGAACCAAATGTGACGGCCGCACCAAAGCAAAGCACCGGCGAACAAACACCCACATGTGACAACCACAAGCACTCCGAGCAGCAACCAGGAGGGGTCTGATTCGGCCATGGCGCTGGAATAATTTGCTGCCTGAATCACCAGTCGAACTACGTACAGTGTCTCACTTGTGCCAAACTCCACCGATCCGCCTCACGTGCCGATCCTGTGCCAACACGGACAGGGTGATCGCATTAACGCATATATTTGGTCCAATCCGATCACCCTGTCCGTCCCACCCCGATGCAACCAAGTGTCAAAGCAATCTCAGCAAGTTTAGACCGGTCGTCTAAATCCCGAAAAGCAGCATCAGCATTGAAGGCCACCATTTTCTCCAGAAGCCATTCACAAATGACTCTGGCATTGTACCCTTTCGCGTTCAAGCAGAACCCGTAGTTATCTCTCAGGATTGATTTTGGTGTAAATCGACGCTGTGAGCAAGGAATTTTACATCTTCTGCGCCATGACGTAAAGTCATCAAAAGCCCTTTCAAGGGCATCTGCATAGCCATTTGACGTGTCACCAAAATAGGCCGAGTCCAACAGCATTCCCCTGGGCATGTCATTGCTGCGTTTTGTCCGTCACAGTTGGTCAGCAAACTTGTCCATCAACCCTCAAACAGCAGAATCCAACACACCTGCACCACCCCCCCAAAAAAGAATGGAGTACCAGGAATCAACCAAGTTGCAAAACGCTGCCACTTGATACACCCAATAAGCCCAAGTTCAATATATGTAGTGTGCAGTGCTTGATGAGGTCTATGTTGAAAAAGTACAACTGTACTAAAGGGCATGGTGGATTGGGAAGTTCTTCAAGGCAGAACTCTTCTGTTGAACGGTATGTGTCACACCAATCTCCTTCACAAGTGGTATATACGAGTCGCTGCACATCCGAGCAAGCACAACACCTGAAACAAATTTTGTTTGCAATCCACCAGCTCCGATGCCGGAAAATATACCTGAAGAAAGCCTGGTCACCTCGTAGCTCTGATACCAAAAACCGACGCCCAGAAACACCGATCTCAGTCATTCTGTTGAAGCTTTCAGTCAGTTTCTCCAGCACTGGATATATAGTTTGCTCCACTGTCAGTATGTTGTCCGACTCGATGCTGAAAAGTAGGTACCGAGACAATCTTGTTGCTGTTGGTCTGTAAAGAGGCAGGTTCATGAAGAATCCATACACCTTGTTTCCGGGATTGTTCACAAGACCAATCGCTGCTTCGTCTCCGTAGAAACCACACGGCCACACAGCACTGCCTACAGACCGTCTGAAGTTGGCAGTGCTCGCAGCCCACTCGTCTCCCACATGGTCTAAATGGTTCCAGTAGCGCTCTACCAAATAGTCTTCAATTGTAAAACCACAGTTCTCGATCATGTGGGATAGAATTCGTTCTGGCAACAACATTGTCATCTGAGTGTCGATCGCTTTCCCGTTTGGTCCTGCAATCGTGACGGCCACTGGCTCAGGCTCCTGAGAAAATTGCAAAGGTGCCACACTGCCATGAAATCATGATATCAGTCTTGAAAGTATCAAGTACAACACCAATTAAATGTTTCGAATATTAATATCCCAAGGATCTACAGGGAGTGGGTTGTTGCGGAAAAAGTCGCGGGAGGAGTTTCGTCCACGCTCGCTATAAGCAGCAAGTTTCTCCGTCCAAGTTGTCGTATGTCCACGGGCTTCCTCAAGTCAAGTGCGCTTTAAAAGAATATTAGTCAAGCTCAGTGAGTTACTAGCAGTTCATTAGTAGATTACAAAACCTGGATTCAACAACATCTTTGGAACATGTTTGCCCAAGATTCAGCAAAGGTCGTTCTGGCAGACTGCATGGCTTTGTTTGCACTAGATTCCTTGGATCAAGTCCCAATAATCATGAAACATTTCTGAATAATTCACACGCTACACGGACTAAACTTCCGCCAGACAAGAGTCGCCTGCACCAATCCTTTCTGAAAGCTCTCTTTCCAACGGGCCTGCGTTGACACCATCGTCGCAGCCAGGATAACCTGCACTTCGAAGTTTCCAACTGATGTTCATTGCTACTGTGCCATTCCTTTGTCATACCACCCACATGTGCACGGTTTGGCAAACAATGATATGCAGGAAACTGTTTTCCCAACGGCCCAATCCACAACTCCTCGCCCATTGCGAGATAGCAAGCTTGGTCTTTGCGTGATAAAGCAACACATTTTTTTCCGGAGTTAATCTTTCTCAGAATCGACCAAGATTTAACTTAGCAGCTCTGCAGCTCCAAAATGAAACAAGGTCACTTAATGACCCCACACAGCCCTTTTCGGGCTAACCCCGTCATCGGCAACCCTGCACACCTATAGCAGCTACACAACTGAAGCGACTGCAACCCAGCCCTGCACCCAAGTTGACGCACTGAGAATCGCATCAAGTGCAAGTTTTGCAAATATCACAGATCACCAATTGCAAGGATTATGGGCTGCAGCCTCAAACCA